AAAAAAAAAAAAAAAAAAGAAACAGAGTAATACAGACCAACACAGGACACACTGCTTATGAGTTAGCTCTGCTCCACAAGGAGCAGTAAAAAGAAAAACAAAAAAATAGAGTATTGTAAATTTCCCTCAGAACCAACTATCTTCCATGATTGGTGTTAGGTACTAGGGATTCGAAGGTACTTTTAGCACAGTTCTTGCATTCAAACTTATGGTCTATTGGAAATCCTGGAAGAGTTCAATCATGAGGTTTAAGTTTACAAGGGCAGAGCTCTGGGTGTTTTATTCATGGCTTTCGACACAGTGACTTGTGACTTGTATTGAATAAGCAAAAGCTGTCAGCTATGCAGAGAAACATCCTTAAATACAGCACATTTGAAATGTACATTATATCGCTACTAATAACATAGTACATTTCACAATGGTCTTTGCCCCCTTATTTCCAAAAGTGCAAGTAAATAGTCCTTATGAATAAACAGGCAAAAATACTAGAAGTTGTCATTTAGACCAGTTTCTGAGTGGGCAGAATGACCACTTGAGATAAGAATAAAAAAGGTACTAGGCCGGGCGCGGTGGCTCACGCCTGTAATCCCAGCACTTTGGGAGGCCGAGGCAGGTGGATCTCCTGAGGTCAGGAGTTCAAGATCAGCCTGGCCAACATGGTGAAACCCTGTCTCTATTTAAAAAAAAAGAAAATTAAAAAAAAATTAAAAAGGTACTGAATCATCTGTTAGGAAGAAAACCATTAAGAGCCCAGAAGATAAGTGGGAAAGGGATGTGAATATAAAAATTTATACCAGGATAACTCACTTTAGTAATCAACTGAGTGTATTAATACTTCACTGCAAAAATCATTGCAATTCCTTAATAATAAAATTATGCCAATGAGTTTATTTTATTATATAACTATGCCTCAGTGATTTTAAAAAAATGTATGTAATGTCATTAGGGTCATCTAAGTGTCACTCATAATGGAAATAAGTCATGTCCATGACAAGAGCCATCTCACTGTCATGAGTCAGAATATATCACTATTATAATTATACATTTGGTGATTTACTTTTTTCCTTTTTGAGACGGAGTTTCACTCATGTTACCCAGGCCGGAGTGCAATGGCGCGATCTCGGCTCACTGCAACCTCCGCCTCCTGGGTTCAGGCAATTCTCCTGCCTCAGCCTCCTGAGTAGCTGGGATTATAGGCACGCGCCACCATGCCCAGCTAATTTTTTGTATTTTTAGTAGAGACGGGGTTTCACCATGTTGACCTGGATGGTCTCGATCTCTTGACCTTGTGATCCACCCACCTCGGCCTCCCAAAGTGCTGGGATTACAGGCTTGAGCCACCGCGCCCGGCCCGGTGATTTACTTTTTTGTCTGTTTTCCTCATTAGACTATATGCTCCGTGAAGGCAGGGACCAGATCAATATATCTTATGACAATATCTACCCTAGCATGTAGTCAGCACTTAACATAAATATAGGCTGAATGAATGAAGGAGACAGGCCCAAAGAAGCCAGATAATTTCCTTCTTTTTCTTTTTTTGAGACAGGGTCTTGCTTTGTTGCCCAAGCAGGAGTGCAGTGCCATGATCATGGCTCACTGCAGTCTCGACCTTCTGGCATCAAGCGATCCACCCATCTCAGCCTCCTGAGTAGCTGGGACCACAAGCATGCACCATCACACCTGGCTAATTTGTTTTTATTTTTTTGTAGAGACAAGGTCTCACTATATTTTACAGACTGGTTTCAAACTCCAGGCCTCAAGCAGTCCTCCCATCTTGGCCTCCCAAAGTGCTGGGATTATAGGCACAAGCCACCACACCCAGCCAAGACATTTCTTTCTCTACCAGCTTCCCCACCCCTAGTGTGGTGAAGTAAATCTGTCATGGAGAGATAAATATCATATTTTTTTAACTGATTAAAATAACTTTCTAAAAACTGAGTTAGAGTTACTTAAAGCCTCAGAAACCAATGCCAATGATAAAAAATATCTTTACGTTTTTATCTCTGAATGAAAAAAACCCTTCTTATTATAAATTCAGTTTTTCTTTTTTTATCCTTAGTAGAAATTGAGCACTGCACTGAAATATTTAATGTTTATATGATATGCAGAATTAATGGAACTTCCTTCTTTTTAGTTTAAACATAATAGACTCAATTTACTAAAGCTTTAATCTTCGTGATTTTTCATTTTTGTAACTATTAAAACAGACTCTTCTCTACAATTCTATCAACAACCATGAAACTGATAAGATAAACACCCTAGAGGGTTTTACTTTGTAACCTTTATTTCCTGTAATATTTTGACCATTTTCCTCAACTGTAGACTGTAGTAAATATAGAGTCTTTCCTTCAAAATACTAACCATTATGGGGGTCAAACAAAACTAGGATAACTCTTAAGTGTGT